TCGTCCCTAAGTCGTGTTGTTTTATACAAAATCTATCTTTTGGATAGTTTCAACTATATTCCAACAAGGGTTATAACCAGAAAATAACAAGTCATTGTCAATGACACGTGACATATACATTCAGTTGTCTGATCCGAAATGCACAACACATTGTACTAAATCTGAACAAAATCCATCCATGCATGACTGAGATCCGGTTCCGGAATTGTGAAAATACTAGTACGTGATTTTGATGCATTTTCGGCCTTAAAATGGCAATCATTCAGCTATTGTTAAGCGGATCATGAAACAAATGCACATATCTATTTGTGACATGATGTACCATGTGTGTGTGAAGTTTGAACTTGATCAATCCAGACATGTCTCGGATACGGATCCAGAACTGAATTCTAAAAACAAAATGGCCACCAGTCGACCATTTCAAACTTGATCTGGAAAAAAAAATGACGTGCATCAAGGTCCTATTATGTTTAATGTATGTACCAAATTTGAACAAAATCCGTCCATGCATAACTGAGATCCGGGTCCGGAATGGTGAAAATGTGCGATTTCAATGCATTTTCGGTCATAAAATGGCCGCTATTCAGCTATCGTTAATCGGATCATGAAAAAAATGCATGTGCATATGTCCCATATGATGTGTGATGTATGAGTGAAGTTTGAACTTAATCGGTCCATGCATGTTCAAGATACAGGTGATCACGGACGCACACACACGGGGCAAACTATAAGTCCCCGTTTTCGGACAACGTCCGAACGGGGACTAAAAAGTGCCTGTCTAAAAACTTTATTGAAATGAAAGATAGCAGTCCCTAGTCTGTATCCACAGACATAAAATCAATGTTTTGTTGATTATTTATGCTTATTTTGTCATTTACTGGCAAGTTTGTAGAAATCTTGCCTGTCAAAAATGAAATTTTGACCCTGTCTGAAATGTGGAATTCCTGTCTAAAATAACAGGTAGACAGGTAGCTGGCTAAAAGCCAGATTCCAGCTCACAAAATATCAAGGATGTCAGATCACAAAGCACACAGCCTGAGGACAACATGGCTTACGGTCTACATGGCTTTTTACATTGATTCATTGAACACAAAGGAACATTGCTATAAAATTCTAATTTCAGGCAGCATGTTTATTATAATTTCACTTTTTAAATTAGGCCGCTGACCTAATTAAATATTTTTCAGTGGTTAAATACAGATTTACTACATATTACATGGCAAAATTCGTAGTAGACCGATTCAGATTAATGTTTTTACCGTACTCGACCGCGTTAGCGCCCATGCCCTGGCAAGCGCCCACCCCTCACTTTTGCACAATTTTTATATTTGGGGTCAATTCGGCAAAGCGCCCACCCTTTCAAAATGCAACTAATTTAAAACTTGGTCTTGCGTAACGAATCATTTCTACTTCTTCATTGTGAAAATCAATGACGACTAACTAAGTTCATAATTTGATTTTCTCTCAAAGACGTAATCTGTCACTTGATGAATCAAATTTTTCATTTGTACTCTTTTTCGAGGGGGGTGCTCGGGTAAGCGCCCACCCCTAAAAAAATCGTGATTTTCTGAGTTGAGGCTCCTGGGAGCTAACACGGTTGAGTACGGTATTAATTTGTTATTCACATTTATACTTAATGAAAAGCAAATGTGAATATCTTAAATTTATTACATGTAATACATCATATTAAAAATATTGTTGATTGTTCACTTAAGATTATAAGATCAAACCTCAAACAAACCTTGAGAAATGGTGCCATATTCAAAGTTAGTTGAGATGGAGGTGGTTAAAATTTATTAGAAACATGGTGAAACAGGAAGTTTGCAAAGTCATCAAAGGATCTGAAACAGTCAGATAAACTTTTATCGTCTTCCACAACATTTTTCTGTTAAATTTTATTATGTCCATTTTGGTTCAAAATTACCAATCAAAATATAAGTAAAATACATGTACATCAAAATTGCAAATTACATATTAAATTTGTGCGGGAAAAACAACTGATTTTAAAATTCAAGACAACGGATGCTGGATGATGGAGGACAATCACTAATATATATGATAAGCTCCACAAAGTTGACAGTGGAGCTAAAAACAGCCAAAAATTACAAAATAACGCAAAATATAGTAAAAATTAAATAAAATGATTGGGTCAAAGAACTTTTATTCCTATCAGTTACCTCCACTATGTGTATCAGGGGATGGTATGTTGAAAGGCTAAAGTCCATCCCTATGCATTCAGGACACTAAAAATATAGCAGCTATAAGGCCAGACTTTTTTTATTCCTTGTTTCTCGAGTTTTTATAAGGCAATTTTCTTGGGCGAGGAGGGCGAAAAAAAATAAAATTAATTCTGTTTTTCCATTAGATTTGTGTGGTTCTCAAAGTATTGCAAGTGAGATCATTGATTGGAGAGAAGAAATAAAATAAAATGTTATT